ACGAAAAATTAGGTGTCTATTTACTTGTGACCACTCAGTGTAGAGTGCCTTCACTTCTCAAAGAAAATATTGAATTTATTCGCATCGTTTCCATCATAGACTGACCTGATGTGTGTAGAGAACACTAAGAGACTTAAACCAATTACCTGTTTTATTACGAGAAATACATAAATAATAGTTCCTTAGTGTATTGTGCGAAGTATCTAACCTTTTGTTGAAACGTTCCGTAGCCTAGCCAAATCAGTTTTGTTTCCAACCAGAATCGCAGCTTTGTTGCTGCTGGCACCTTCCTTTGTCATAAGATGATTAAGAATTTCTCGGCTCTCCCGGAAGCTTCTTTTATCCGTGACGGAATATACTACTATATAGGCATCGTAATTCGAAGTGGAGCCTGGAGCATCTTTTTCCTGGTCCTGGGGTTACATAAGGAAAGAAACAAACCGAAATAACGTTTCAATGACTAGTTCCATAGTGACTGTCAAGAGAAACACAAAAGAGACTAGTCGACTTTAGGAGTTTCTTAAATACAAAGCATCATTGAATTACAAGTATAAGAGGATTGAAAACTTGTTTATTGAAACTTTTGTCTCATAAAAATATCGGTAAAATTTCATTGGAAACTTTTGGTTTATAAACTTTGATGCTGATGTTCGTGTTTTAAACGGTCCTTTGTTGAATTTCACGCAAAGCTACATGAGAGCTATCTTCATCAATAGTTCCAAATTTTAAATTGATATACTAGAGGGAACATCACCTACCGCCGACTAATGGGCTATTCTTGTCAAACTAAATAGTGGGTTTTGACTGTCTTTCTTATAACGCATTCACGACGCCAAAGTGCAGAGCGCGATTTTATTTATATATTTTTTGTGGTAAGGAGATGTGAACCCCGGAACCTCATATCTACAGCCCGTTACATGGCACCCTAACCACTGGGCCGCGTTCGGGCCTTGTGTTTTAATTCCTCACGAAACAGTAGTATTATTTAGAGATCAAACTACCACCTGGATCGAGCAAGGAAAAAAGTACTGTTAGGGAAAGAATTACCAAGACATGTTTGCAAGTGACAGTTTTTGTTTGTCTATCGTGAAAGTATACAGTAAATGATAAGCTGACTGACTGACGAGAGGAACTTGAGATTTTGGATTAGTCACGTGAACCTGTGGTACCTGTTAAAATAACCACAGAAACTACTATATCTAGATTTAATAAATGAGGTTTTGGTTAATTTTTCCTTTTTTTGGGGGGGGAGTCGCTGCATAAATACAAATGATGGCAAGTAAAGCCAAGTAATAATAATAAAAAGTGGGGAGGAGTTGTGACGAAGATATGCACCAGTCTCCCCCATCTATAGCTGATAACTTGGAGGTATGAAAAAATACATTCTGCAAGCGATTGAAACATTAAAATATAACTGGATATTCTAACAAAAGAAAATGGCAAAGTAGCTGAGATAGTGTTCCCAACGTCTCCCCTCGCTATTCCAAACAAATATGGTAAAGTAGCTGAGCTAGTGTTCTCAACGTATCTCCTTCCAATTACAAACAAAATGATAAAGTGGATGAGGGAGTGTCTCTCGTAGATGTTAAATAATGAAGGCCAAGAGACAAAAAGAGCGCCATATTGTTTTTTAAGAACAACCAAAACGATTCAACGATGTTAGGGAGCAATAGTCAGTACCGAAATTTTTGTGTTTTATAAACAGGATTACTCTTGATTCCATTTAAATATTTTTAATACAGGTGTAAATATTGTGTTCTATGCTCCTTATAGGTTTTATAGACTCATAGAGTTCTCCAAAGTATAGCTGTTGCATTTAGTATCAAAATTATAAACTCACCAAGAAGGTTTGGGCGTCACATTCCACAAAAACTAACTCCGATTCTTCTTCATTCAAAATAACAGTCACCGATTTCTCGTTCTCGCCATCTATATTACAGTAAATACAAGAGTTTTGTGATCTTCATCTCGAAATATTGTTAGATTATATCATATACAACAGTCAAGGATTTTTCGTTTTTACAATTTAGGAAACATTGTAAGATTATAACAAACATACTATTCATGAGTTTCGCGATCTCAACATCTAAAAATATGTTCCCAGATAGATCAGCGGCAAGTTTATTGAATTACAACGCTAAAATTCGGGGTTCGATTTTCCTTGGTGGACACAGCAGATAGCCCACCGTGACTTTGCTCAAAAATAAAAAACAAAAATCTAAAATATTGTTAGATTATACCATATACAGCAGTCAAGGATTTTTCGTTTTCACTATTTAGAAAACATTGTTAGTTTATACCAAGTACAGCAAGATTTAAGGATTTCTTGCTCTCATGAAGTCATTTAGAAAACCTGGATGGATCACACTAAATACAAATACCACTGATGATGCTAGTACTAAGTGTGGACACACTTGAAGGTTTCCAAGCTTCACCACAAATGCCACTGATGATGCTAATGCTAAGTGTGGACACACTTGAAGGTTTTCAAGCTTCACCACAAATGCCACTGATGATGCTAGTACTAAGTGTGGACACACTTGAAGGTTTTCAAGCTTCACCACAAATGCCACTGATGATGCTAATGCTAAGTGTGGACACACTTGAAGGTTTTCAAGCTTCACCACAAATGCCACTGATGATGCTAATGCTAAGTGTGGGTACACTTGAAGGTTTCCAAGCTTCACCACAAATGCCACTGATGATGCTAATGCTAAGTGTGGGTACACTTGAAGGTTTCAAGCTTCACCACAAATGCCACTGATGATGCTAGTACTAAGTGTGGACACACTTGAAGGTTTTCAAGCTTCACCACAAATGCCACTGATGATGCTAGTACTAAATGTGGACACACTTGAAGGTTTTCAAGCTTCACCACAAATGCCACTGATGATGCTAGTGCTAAGTGTTGGTACACTTGAAGGTTTTCAAGCTTCACCAGTTCTGTTACATATATTAAAGGTATTATGTAGAGGAATACTTTTAAACTAAATAAATTAATGAGATATGCAAATAAATGAATCAATTCGATAATTGATTATTCAAATCGTTTGCTAAAATAAAACCTGTTAGTACTCAGTGTACATCTATTCAAATACATAGAATTTATTTATTAGTTCAGGAATTGCGTTCGAAGTACATATGCATGAGAAACTTTGCCCAGCTTATGATTTGTCATTCTGATTAATTGAAACTTATTGCTTGAATGTATTAAAACAGTCTTATTTTGCATGTTTAATAATTCTGGTAAAGTTTTCACTTACAAATAAAGTAAACGAAGCATGGACGAAACTGTTCTGTAAATACACTGAAAGCTTCATTTTATAAATCACCCTGAAACATTTGGCAAAAAAAACAACACGTGGCTGAATTAAACATTTATATATTAGCGAGTTGACGAAGATCTTTAGTGCTTCATTAACATAAGTTCATCTCATCAGATAGAAAAGAAAAAAAAGAATGATGGTATGCTGAAATGAACATAGACTGAAAAGACGGGTTGCTTGCCTTAGAACCAACGAAGCGGACGTGAAACCGAGCTAATGGAATGTCGCCTCAACTGCTGCTTTCCCAGCACACTTCTCATATGCAGCAGACCCCGGTTCTTAGCTTTTATTTTATTTTTATTTTTTTGGCTCTGTCAAACAATTTAGTAGCGTTGAGTTAGGTTTAGGGTTCACTCGTTCTGAATGTCACGCTTATTCTTCTCCAGGACTGTATTTTACTTCTTTTTTCCGTCCATAAAGTTAAATGAAACGGGAAATAGATGGAATTAATGCTTAACTGTTACCAAGTACTGAGACAATTGGAACTACTGGAGTTTCACATGTAATAATAACAATATTCATAAAAATAGCTATTCGTAACTCACGGGTATATTAGTATATCCATTATATAGCTTTTATCATCGTAGTGAGAAAAAGTCAAGCCCACTGCCCCTATCTTTAGTCCTCACTGGATGATTCATGTTCCACTTATTAGGCATGCAATAAAGAGCTGTATTGGGAAATTGAAGAACATCGAACAGTTCTATGAAAGCGCTATTTCACCAGTTTACTTTGAATCCACTTGAGATAGGTGGAGTAGTACAACATCTACTACGCAATGCGAGTCTACAAAATAATTTAGAACTATCGAATAAAATAAGTTTTACCATAAAAATAGTTTAAAATCTAAAATGAAATTGAAAATGTTGTTAAGTCTCACGCGTTCGTAAAAAAAAAACAGTTCTACCGAGAAATTATTTTTGTTCATTTCAGTTGTGTGTATTAAACAAACGCATAAACGTAAATGTATAACTTAAACATGACAAAACCATAAACAAAATATAAAGGTAATAGATTCACAAGAATAATACACACTTGTAATGTGAAATTTCTGATCACTCTAAATACAAGCAACATTGAAAAAATATACAGGTACTATATTTCCTTGAGTGAAAACGAGCAGTCTTGTCAAGTAAATATCGCGTTTATTAATGTTGTTTGTGTTCTAACATGTTATGAAATATGGCCTTTACATTACTGTTGTGTATTATGTTTTTGTGAACGTTAAGCTAAAACGTGTAAATGATTGTTGAGTTTTCTATTAGTCTCATATCTGTGATAGATTTTATGAATTACATAAGGCTGGGACTTGACCTTTTTTTCATCAAGCTCTTAATGCAGTGAATTACGTAGGGCTCGGACTTGACCTTCTTTCATGAAGCTTTTAATGCAGTGAATTACGTTAGGCTGGGGCTTGACCTTTTTTCATCAAACTCTTAATGCAGTGAATTACGTAAGGCTGGGACTTGACCTTTTTTCATCAGGTTCTTAATGCCCTAAAGCACTAGTTTCTCACATTGAAACCTCTTATTAAACCGGAATAATGTATCGTTTGCTGGTATGTATAAGAATAATAGCCAAATTCAGCTATAGCGAAATAAACTATGGAAACGCAAAGGAATGATAAAAATTACTGTAAGGAAAAGAAAATACGTATCTAACATTTTGGCAAGCTACTTTTATCAGGTTCCAGAATGTTAGCTACATATTGTGTTGTCTCCAACAGCGGTTTTGACCATTTCTTTGTTTGTCTGTTCGTATAATCAAATAAAAAAATGCATATAACTGAGTTTCAATTTTTTGAAACTTTCATGACTATTATTGTTACTTATTTATTTTTTGTTCACATTAGGTGATTTAACTGATTTAACATGAGAGCAGTAACTGCGTGGAAAATCAATTGCTCATGGATGGAGAGGTTCTGTATAGTCTAGTGTGAACTTTCATGTTTCGTATTACACTTACAAGAAAACACGAGTCCTGCTAAAAACCTAACTCAAACTACTCTTTCAGAGTGAAGGATCATACAGAAAGCTTGCAAACACAAATCACCATGCATATGCTAATGAAGGTGCGCATCGTCACAGTTGCTAGTCTTGGCGCCACAGGCGACATGTTTAAAATCTCTTATATTTTGTTTACGACGAACTCATAAGCATTCGATAATGCAACGAGTTTTATGGTTCGAGACATGTAACAATCCTTTTCGAATAGAAATATTCAAACAGTGAGATTTTTCAGATGATACAACATTTCGAAAAAGGGATGCGACTTCTATGTAATTCACAGTTCCAGAAAAACTGGCAACGCTATCTGAAAATAGGTGTTGCGAACTGGTAGGCGTGGCCTAGTGGTTACCCTGCCAAACTGTGGATCTGAAGGTCCATGACTCGCATCCTGATGGTGAAAAACAAATTGCGCTCCTCACTTTGAGCTATGAGTGCGTGATAAGAGTGATGGTCAAATTCCATGATTCGATTAGAACAGTCCAAAAGTTGGTGGTTGATGCTGTTAATTGTTACTGCTTTACCTCTGGTCTAGTAATTCAAAATTAGGAAAGCTTAGCGCAGACAGGCGTTTTGTAGTTCTGTGCGAATATCCGACAACATACAAAAATTATTGCGAAATAGAACCTTCCGACCAAAAAGCTTTGCTGTGAAGCTTAGCTTATCTACCGGCATTATTAACAATATACATTAAGTAACAAGGATTTGAAGTTCGCAAGTTTCCAGTCACATCTCGAAATGTTCGAATCCAACCACCGAACATATTCACTTTTTCGACCTTGGGAGCATTATAACGTGACGGTCAATCCCACTTTTCGTCGATGAAAGAGTAGCCCAAGAGTTGGCGGTAAGTGGTGTTTACTAGCTTCCGTCACTCTAGTCTATCACTTTTAAATTATGGACGACTAACGTACACGACCCTCTAGTAGCTTTGCGCGAAATTCAATAAACAAACATTTCGAAATCAACGGCTGTTTTTCTAAGAAAGAATGACAAAGAAACTGGAATCACAACAACTCCATTCGAACTCCATTCTCCGATGCAGCTCCAATGGACTTTTATGTCTATGGTCTGTTTAATTGTTTGTTTGTTATGTATTTCGCGCAAAGCTACACGAGGGCTATCTGCACTAGCCGTCCCTAATTTAGCAGTGTAAGACAGCTAGTCATCGCCACCCACCGCCAACTCTTGGGCTACTCTTTTACCAACGAATAGTGGGATTGGCCGTCACATTATAAAGCCCCCACGGCTGATAAGGCGAACATGTTTGGTGGGACGGGGATTCGAACCCGCGACCCGCAGATTGCGAGTCGAGCGCCCTAACCACCTGGCCATGCTGGGCCTGGTTTGTTTAAACGTAGTCTTGTAAGCCAGGGTTTAACCATAGGAGAGCCTGTGGAAAGTTTCTCAAGGTGTTTGTAAAAACTGCGGTGTATGACAATCATGACTATCTGAATGGGTACCATTGACGAAAGATGACGTTTTGTTCCAAGATTAGCAAGTAAATACCAGTAGAGGATCATGAAAATGATGACGTTTTGTTCCAAGATTAGCAAGTAAATACCAGTAGAGAATCATGAAAAAGATGACGTTTTGTTCCAAGATTAGCAAGTAAATACCAGTAGAGGATCATGAAAAAGATGACGTTTTGTTCCAAGATTAGTAAGTAAATACCAGTAGAGGATCATGAAAAAGATGACGTTTTGTTCCAAGATTAGTAAGTAAATACCAGTAGAGGATCATGAAAAAGATGACGTTTTGTTCCAAGATTAGCAAGTAAATACCAGTAGAGGATCATGAAAAAGAAATTATCCATCAGTACAGTAAAACGTCAAAGTTATGACAAAATTATCTGGATCATATAATAGATTATCCCCCCCCCCCTTCTTAAATAAAAAGTACAGCATAATGAATTTTCATCTGGCTCGAAAAGGCAGTGACTATTTCATTTCTGAAGCTAAAACTTAATAGCTTTTAATACTGACCTTTAAAAGATGAAGATAGCAAACAGTGTCTTGAAAGTACTTTCTGCATTAATAAACTACAGTTAATGTTTACTTGATGTTTACTGCCATAACTAGTGGTGTAACCAGAAATTCCACGTGAAGATTTATATGACGATGTTCCTTACCGCAAGAGCACTTGATCAGCTCAATTCGTCGAAAGAACATTTATCAGATACTAAGGTACAAGGTGTTGCAAGTCTTGTGGCTGAGAATATGTAAGTTAGGATAATATGTTAATATATTTCGAAATACAAGATAATGTTAGTAAGATTAAGCATGTAAAGAAAATAGGGCATTTACTATACAAAGCCAACAACTGATAAAAACTAAAAAAACATGATGATGAATTTATTTTTACTTTCGTAGACGATGTGTTCAGAGCAGATTCAAATAATTCCTTTACATTGGCATGTGTGTTCAGTGTGGCTTCCAACGATTCCTTTATATTGGCATGTTCATTCAGAATAACATCTAACGATTCCTTAGTGTTAGCATGTTGATTCAGTGTAACTTTTAACGATTCCTCAACGTTAGCATGAATTTTAAGTTTGGCTTCCAATGGTTTCTTAATACTGGCAAGTATACTTAATGTAACTTCTCACGATTCCTTAATGTTAGCATGAAATTCCAATGTAACTTCTCAGCATTCCTTAATGTGAACATATATTTTCAATTGTGGCTTCCAACGATTCTTGCGTTGACAAGTATGTTCAGTTTTTAGGAATGGCGACGCACTAATTAATTAAATCTAAACTGTTACCAGCTTTTTAACCCTTACCGTGAGAATTGTCGTAGGCACAGATGTATTCCGAAGTTGTGAATTGGGTGGTCAAAGACGACTTTCCAACTTCTGGTGCTCCCACAACCAGCACTCTGTGAACCTCTGTATCTGTTACGACCACAGGAGGGACTTCTGGAGCCTCCTGGAGAAATAACTCAAAACTGGGGGTTCTAGGAGGAGTTGTAGAGAGGGAATGCCGTGAACCTGTAGAAGAAACACTGTGTGTGCTGCGAGATTTGGAACGAAAGGAATCACCCCGATTGACTACTCCTTTCGAGGTCACCGAAAAGTTGCGGAGCCGCTGCATCTCGGCTTCGTCTCTTGAAAACGGTAAATGAAGGAACTTGGCTTCGTCACTTGGTAATGGTAGTGAATGGTTAGAAGATGACCGAAAAGGGAAAGATTTGTGAGGAAGCACGCTACTATCATCAGATATGCTAGCAATTCTTTCCCGAAGATAACCAGCTGATTCAGGCCGTCGAGGGTTCCGCATGGATTGAGACCTTTTAATGCCTTGTTGATAACTTTTGTCCAGCAAAGGAGGACACATATCAAGGTGGTCGGACGCTGGAGTGTCCGCGTCGTCTGGCAAGAAAATGATCGGCGGGATTAGGGTAGGAGAAGCTTCCCTTCGAACAAAGTCCTGAGAGTCATCCAGCGCCCGGAGGTTGGGCGTACTTCTACGAGACGAACTGGTCAAATGTCGTGGACTAAGAAAGCGTGTCAGAAAATTTTGCGCAATGACAGGCATTTTGTTAACTTGAAATGCTCTATAATTATAAGGAGCTAAGAATATGCTTTAAATTGTTCTGTTTTCTCTTTCATAAATACACAAAAAAATAATGTTTCACAAGTGTTGTAACCTCAGCGGTTTTATAACCTCTACGTTCTACTCACGTTTATCGCTGCGGGCGAAATATATATTAGTTTGACGAGTCACGTGGATTCGGCCATGACGTCATACTTCGGAACTTGAGCTCCTGGTCTTTAATGCTGTTTCAAGAGATAATAACTTAAAGGTCTAAGCGCACGCGTACCGGTGAAGAACAGCAAGTAATGAAACTTCCCAAATATTTTCTTTAAGGCAGAAAAAGAAAATCAGACCTTCTGACCACACTTGATGTCAGAGAAATATCAGATGTTTATTGATTCTGATGTTGAGCGCAAAGCTGCACAATGAGCTATCTGTGTTTTACCCACTGCCAGTATTGAAACTCGATTTTTAGCATTATAAACCCTCGCTGAGTCACTGGGGTGCAAATATCAAGTGGCAGACTGGGGCGTTCATTCCCATTTACACTTTTTATACAGTGATTATAATAAAACCTAATTTAGTAGTAATATGTTTGTAATGTTGTATCACAATAAGACAGGTAATATGTTTATAATGTTGTATCACAATAAGACAGGTAATATGTTTGTAATGTTGTATCACAATAAGACAGGTAATATGTTTATAATGTTGTATCACAATAAGAATGGTAATATGTTTATAATGTTGTATCACAATAAGAATGGTAATATGTTTATAATGTTGCATTTCAACAAGACAAGTAACATGTTTATAAAGTTATATCACAATAAGAATGGTAATATGTTTATAATGTTGTATCACAATATGACAGGTAATATGTTTATAATGTTGCATTTCAACAAGACAAGTAACATGGTTATAAAGTTATATCACAATAAGAATGGTAATATGTTTGCAATGTTGTATCACAATAAGACAGGTAATATGTTTATAATGTTGTATCACAATATGACAGGTAATATGTTTATAATGTTGTATCACAATAAGACTGGTAAT